TATCTGATGTGCTGCTCGCTGCGATGGGGCTGGACATGCTGTCCTGGTCACGTGATTATGCAGTTCAGGGAGAGAATAATGCCAAGGTGGGAAGATCGGAGTGGGATCAATAGAACGTGATGACGAAGTTGTGCCCGCGTGTTGGTTGCTTCAGTGGGTCTTGCACCTCGTGAGAGTTCCCATTACTGGAGGACAGCGATGTTGGACTAAGCAGTCCCTGACAATGTGAGGTGCAGGGCCGCTGCGACACGGAGGATGCGGGAGCCAAACCATAGCACAGTTACATCAAGGAGGGATCGATGTGATGAGCTTAGAAATCAGGATGGCTCACTTCCCGTTTATTCACTAATGCTGTTTGGGCAGCTAACTTACAAGGAGAAATGGTAAATCTCACAGTGCCCACTGGATCTCAAATGTTCCTGCCCTCAAAATGTTTCCCCTAAAGCTGTTGTGCTTGTGCTGAGTGAACGGCACTCCTGTTTCATGCACTCCTCGCTTATTTTGCATGCAGATCATGGTGGCCGCTAAACGAGGGCAGGACGTACAAGAGCACAGTTGGACCGTCATCTAGAAATTACACGGACACAAAGGAGTACGTGAAATTGGATTTTTCCATGACGTATAAAATGCTACAGACTTTAATGACCTTCTTATCTCAGTGAGGCATTTTTTAAGGATTAGCAATTTTAAAGAGTTTGGGAGTTTTAGCCTCTGCCAAGGGTTTGGAAAGGACAGATTGTCGTATATGCTATGTATCCTTTTCTTGATCGTAGGTTGAGTGGACAGTTGTGAGTAGAAAACTCGAAGGATTTTTCTCAAGATTGTCTACTTAGAAAAGTTTGACCCCTTGGAAATGATAACTTGAAAAAAAAAAAAAGATTAGTACCTGAGAATCAGGTATCCTGAAGAACTACTGTGTAATGCTAAGCAGTTCATCTGGAATTCCATTCCTGCAAAGTCTATTTCCAGGGCTGCTGTCAAGGCCCTGTGAGGAGCACTGTGGCCAGTGTAGACACCAAGAGGCATGGGCTTCCCTCCACCTCCCAGTGAGGGGTACTTGCCGACTCAGAGTCCTCACTGTGGTTTTAAGCAATTTCTACTGTTAGGTCAGCAGATTATGCAAAAGTGTGAAATCATTCTGGGAAATTACCTTGGTTAAATATTCTTTCCATTGTCTTGTCCACCCTTAGAATGTGTATAAGCCTTCTTGGTATTTGCATTTATCCTCAAAACCAGAAACCGTGCCACTAACATGGATCACACTGGTAAACTCTGAATGGTTAATCGTTTATGGTAGGCGAAGAGGCTGTTAAGAGAAATCGTAATTCATCCCACAGAAAAACTACCTGACTTGAGAAGCAGGAGGCGAAAGTAGGGACCCAAAATAACTTGAGCAAAGCTGTCCGAGAATTCTCCCCAGGGCTCACGAAAGAGGTACATGGGTAAGGGCTCACTTCTCCCTGGGTGCCCCTGTGGTGCAGCACTGCGTCAGAACTGCCCCAAAAGGTGGTCAGCATCTGCGGTGTAAGGGACACTTTATTAATATGGGTCACAGGCTGTGCTTTGCCTTATGGCTCAGCTTGAGTTCCAACCAGTGAAACAGCAAGGCTTATAACAGCAGGGCTTATAAGGGTACATGGCTGCAAAAATGCTTTCAGAATCAGCACAGTTTGATTCTTGCCACCTAAGAAGTTACAGAGAACAAAATTTTAATCATCTTTCTCTAAGTTACTCTAGCGTGGTGACGGAGGCGATGTGAAGGAGGGCCGAGATGCAGGTGTTTGTGCGCGGAGACATCAGGTCTTTGTACCGTGCAGAACCACAGCCGACATACATGTGGGGCGAGGACTGCATATCACTACGGGGAGGGACTGCAGTGTTCATTTACATGTCTCTGAAGCGCTTTCTGAAACACACATCTCGTATTTAATTATGTGCTATCTAGGCCCTTGTTGGATTCTAAATGGTTATGATTAGGTGTGTGCTTTTCTGAAATTGCAACATGGTTCATGTCTGAAGTTTCCCTCTCAATTTATCCCTGCATCCTGATTACGCAAATTGTAATTATTAATATCCTGCTTGGAAATAAGGATTTGATCTAGCTTCTCTATTAATATATTGACTTTTAGTCCATTTACTTATTATTCTTTGTGATGTTTTTTTTTCAATTTTTAATGTATTGGTAAAACTTCCAACTATGTTTCTACTTCTTATATTAAATATTTATCTCCTTTCAGGTAAATTGGCCAATTACAAACATCACATCAAGAGCAAACAAATTCACAGGATACGTCATATTTTTCTTTTTTTTAAATTTAGAATTACTTATTTGTTTTTATTATTGTTATTATTACTTTAATTCACTAGAGAGAGTCAGAGAGGGAAAGTGAGAAAGCCAGCTGCCAGGTCAAGACTTGAACTGTGGTCAGCCACATGGGAGTCCCGTACCTTAACCAATAACCACTTGCTGGGCCCCATATTTTTCAATTTGCTTTTCTTTCTCTTTTAATATTGAACTTACACGCACACACAGACACACATACGTATACACACTCACACACACACACACACACACACAGTCACGCTTTGCTTAACAACGGGGACGTGCTCTGAGGGCACTGTGTTAGGTGGCTTTGCTGTGTGACATTGAGCACTCCACATCTATACCTGCCCACCTGGGCAGAGCAGGGTGGCCGCCAGAACGCTGTGGGGTCACTGTCACGTCTGCGGCCCATTGCTGACTGCGTGTCGTTAGGCGGCACATGACAACATGTATAAATATATTTACGTCTTTTCTCCACTTTCTTTCCCCATGGCATTGATTGCTGCTGCTGCTTCTGAGTAACTAGATGGGGTGGGGGCAAGCAGATGGTTTAGCAGTTATGTCGCTGGACTTCCGGATGGCCAACCACGGTTCGAGTCTCAGACTTAGTGGCTTGAAACTTGCCAGATGCGTGTGCGTGTGTGCCCAAGATCTGGGGAGGAGAATGGAGGAGATGGGGTTGCAGCGTGGCTACCCCCCTGGGGGGTGATTTCTCACTTTACCTTTCACTGTCTCTGTTTCTCTCTCTCTCTCTGGTGAATATACACACCCTAAGGGAAAAAAAAACTCTAAGAAAAAAAGACAAAACTTAAATAAATAAGTAGCTGGTGAGAGAGAGCCAGAGGGGAAGCACCCTTCCATGGGATGTGGTCACAACACAGTCCTTTTTTCTCCAATGCTCCGTCTTGTCAGGACTTTGGACACAAGTGTAGACACTCCCTGTTTCTTTTTCAAGCTGCTGAGGTCAGGATTTGAACTTTGGTCAGCCGTGTGGGACTCAGTTCCCAATGCACAGTGCTTATCCACTGCACCATGGGGCCAGTCCCATTGCTGCATTTTTATTCATAAATGTTATCAAATAATTTTTAAAATTTGCTATAGGTGGGCCAGCAGGTGGTGTGGTGATTAAGGGTAGCGGCCTCCCACATGACTGACCACAGTTCGAGTCCTGGACCTGGCAGCTTGCTTTCTTACTTTCCCTCGCTCTCACTCTGTTTCTCTCTGGTCAAATTTAAATAAATAAATAAATAAATAAATAAATAAGGTTCAATAAAATAATTCTTTAAAAAAATTTGCTATAGGATATGTGCATTTGCCAGAGAGAGGTGGAGAGAGAAAGAGGGAACATGAAAAAGTGACCACCTTGGGGGATGACCGCGTTGCAGTTCCTTCTCCATTTTCCTCTCAGGGGCTTGGGATTGCTCACGTGTGTGTTCCTCAAGCTACCAGGTGTGGGACTCCAACTGCACACTGGACATGGGGCATATGGGACCCACCGCCTCCACACCTGCCACCAGCGGACCCTATTAAATAAATGTTAGCACTTAGGGTACGGCAGGATTTGTCAGGAAGCGGGAGATAATACCTTGTTACCTATTGGCTAGTTCTCTCATAAGCATGCCGTGTTCTCTGTCCAGTTCCTTGCGATGTGGGACAAGGCCTTCGATCCAGTTTTGGAACCCACACACCTCCCTGTGACTATTGTTACATGCATTTGTTGTGGGTGTGGACTTGGGAGCCAGCCTGCGTGGCTCAGTTTCCACACACGCTGTTTGTTGGCCGTGCGATGTCCCCGTTAGTCACTAAGTGGTACTGAAAATGAGCTTAGAGTAATGCACATTTCATAGGTTGCAGCAAGGATTTGGTGACATGATGAATGCAAAACTTTAAAGTGTTTGACATGTTGTAATTGTCAACAGATTTATTTGTGGCTGTGTTTAAATGTTTAAAAACAATAGATCTAAAAAAATTGTAATTAACAGGACCAACAGTTAGTGTAATAGCTATCTCGCTGAACTCCCACATAGTCAACCACGGTTTGCGTCCTGGACCCGGTGGCTTGAAACTCACGCATATGCGTGCGTGCCCAAGATCCCGAGAGGAGAATGGAGGAGAAGGGATTGCAGCGTGGCCGTCCTCCCTGGGGGGTGATTTCTCGCTTTCTATCTCTCTGTCTCTCTCTGTCTGCCTGGCGAGCGCACGCGCTCTATAGCAAAAACTCAAAAAAAAATTGTAATTAATATTTTAGACAAAGAACAAGGTGAGGGCGTTTAGGAGATGTGGTAGCTATTTGCATCTAGACTTGGTACTTATTTGTGATTGATTTGTGTGTGTGAGCAGAGCACAACGTAAATATCACAAAAACTAGCCTAATTGTTGACACTAAGATAATTTCATTTTATATTTAATGACTAGACCTATTGATACATGTTATAAAATCCTAAATAAAGTTTACAAGATTAAAAAAAGAATAAAACTACACTGGAAATATTAGGTGTTATCTTCCACGACTCATGTAAACAATTAAAAAGAAAAGTTAAGATAATTACATACTTTCTTCTCCAAAAAGGCTGATTCCAAGTGCACATCCTAGAATATTTATCCTATCAGACTTCTGGTAAAGCGTCTGAGAGAGAGGCTTTACTGACATGTGGTTACTCTCTTTTTTATCTTTTAGGAATACACAATAGATATCATTTTTGCCCAAACCTGGTTTGACAGTCGTTTGAAATTCAATAGCACCATGAAAGTACTTATGCTCAACAGTAATATGGTCGGAAAAATTTGGATTCCGGATACTTTCTTTAGAAACTCAAGAAAATCTGACGCTCACTGGATCACCACCCCAAACCGTCTGCTTCGAATTTGGAATGACGGACGCGTTCTGTACACCCTAAGGTACCACTGTTTTAAAAAAGTAGTTGCTCTAATTTATTCTCCATACGGAGAGTTGATTAGCTCCTAAAGTTTTCTTCTCCAAAGTTATAAAGTAAGAAATACGGAATTCCTTTCATGCTCAAATCTGAAATGCTGAAGTATTGTGACAATACTTTTCTTAAACTCGGAGTTCCTATCTTGCAGAAGAGACTAGAAGCAAAGAGGAAAATTTCGTCAGTTTTCCTCCTTGGAAGCAGAAGTTGTGCACAAACACGCTTTGTAACCTATGCTGAAAATGATTGGCTGAGATTGTGCCCCACAGCCCACCTGCTCTGAATTTTCTGGTTTTCAACAGTGTAGTAAAATATCCCTACGAAAAGATTAAGGATAGAAGGTTGTTGTGTAAGATTCACGTTTATTAATTATGTTGCCTTGAATATATCATCTTACTAAGAGCCATCCTTATGGAAAGATGTTCATGATAAAATAAGAAAAACATGACTCTTTTTTACCATGTGTAGTGTGTTCATGTGGTGAGTGCATCCATGCGTGCGTATGCATGTTGAGGTTCTGAAGTACGAGTTTTTAAATGTAGTGCCAAATCATTGAAATGTGTGCAAGACAACTTGGTTGGCTGGAGATAAAAGTGTTAGCATTTTCATACTAACTCATGAAGATAAAATATTACTATGTATAACCTTGAGACTTTAGAATTATTATATGCTAGTACATCGAAGTCCATTGATATAGGTCAAGATAAAGTGTTAGAGGCCAGCCAGGTAGTGTGATGGTTAAGGTGCTGGCTCCCACTTGGTCAACTCTGAGGGTTCGAGCCCCCAGATCCAGTGGCTTGAAAATCATGCGATGTGTGTGCGTGTGCATGCCCAAAACCCCAAGGGGAGACTGGAAAGATTTGTAGCATGGGCATCCCCCTGAGGGGTGATTTCTCACTTTCCCAATGTTTAAAATGATTTCTCTTTATGTGATATTTATTTCTTTTTATCTAAATAGATTGACAATTAATGCAGAATGTTACCTTCAGCTTCATAACTTTCCTATGGATGAGCATTCCTGTCCATTGGAATTTTCAAGTTGTAAGTGATAACATGTTTGATAATTTATGGAATTTGAACCTCAGATCCTTTTTACTTAAAAATGAAATAATTTAAAATGAAACAAGACAAAATACTATTTCCAGAAGTGTGGATTATATTCAAATCTCATATATAAAGTAATTATAAATACTATTTTATTTCTTGCTTTTAAACTAAAATGTGACAATAATATGTGCAGTGAAATATATATATATATTTATCTTGTTAAATTATTCTTTACAACTTTTAATTGTATTCAAATGCTCTTTTGCTATTTGGATTAAAGAAAGGAGTACTGAAGATTTGTATACAAATGCTTTTACACAGCCATTAATAAAAAGTTGGCTCAAATTCTATTTGTCTTCCTGAAGGCTTGATTTAACTTTATGACATTGGATTTTAATATATGTTTTAAAAACTGGTTTGGTATGAGAATTGACTACATGGATAGCAATATTTGAGAAGAATTAATGAGTAAGAAAAGCCAAGGCATTCAATAGAAATAAATTTATTTTCATTTTAAAAAGGAACACAATAAAATAATTCTAATTAACAATAATGTACTATATATTTCAAAATATACATAAGCTAGAAGAGAGGATATTGAATATCCCCCAACACTAAGAAATGATAAATTTTTGAGGGGATGGATGTGTTAATTACCTGGATTTGGTCATTACACATTGTCTACATGTATTAAAATACCATACTGCTGGGGCTGACAGACTGCATGGTGGTTAAGGCACTTGCCTCCCACATGGCCAACAGTGATTCAAGTCCTGGACGTGGTAACTTGCTTTCTCTCTCTCTCTCAGATCAAATTGAAGAATAATAACAATAAATAAAATAAAATAAATAATTCTTTAAAAATATCATTCTATACTCCATAAATATGTGCAATTAGTATGTGTCAATTAAGAAAATAAAGACAAAGATAAAATAAATAATTCTTTAAAAATATCATTCTATACTCCATAAATATGTGCAATTAGTATGTGTCAATTAAGAAAATAAAGACAAAGAAAAAGAATGAAGCACAGAGAAGTGACTAAAGCTAAATAATTTGAACTTAAAAACTCAATATTTCTTCCAAAAGAGTGGTTGCTGCACACTCAAGTAGCACTATTAGTTTTATTTTGCACTTCCTAGCATTTATCCTCTCATCTATTTTGCAGAAATATCTTTCTAGGTGACGTTCAATTACGTAAGTCTTTAGAACATGTCAAATGTCGCCTCTATCTGCAGATCATCTAATGCTAGTTCCCTTCTGTCAAACTGGATTTTTTCATAGGTATCCTAGAACCGACTAGCAAAAGAGTGTAATATAACTTTTTATGCATTAAGTACTACCTTGCTCCTTCACTTACTAAATTTCCAGATATCTCTTGTTGCCCTTTATTAATCATTTTATTGACTTTTCTTAATCATTTTTGTCTCATTGCAACATCCTTTGGTATTAATGATCTCATCTCTCACTCCTTTGAGTTTCAAGAATTAACTTCTCAAAGAACAGAACAGCCAGATCACAACAAAGACTTGACTATATGAACACTCAAGGAATTGCTAATATGCAGATATTTGAAGATGTAGCTCCTGGACTTTCCTTTAAACATTTTTCCCAAATCCTGGTGTGACATTTCTTTGGGGTTCGATTGTCCGTGGAGAATTAATTTATCCTTGTGAATGCGATGGTGTGTCAGTGGCATAGTGTAATACTTATGGCTAGTTTTGAAGCACTCTCTGTAGGTTCAGTAGAGATTAAACCCTCTGTATTTGCTTTAAGACAAATGTGCGTGGGAGATCTTGTTGCAGCCCCCATTTAAGAGTATCAAGAGATGCAGCGTGGCTAAGCTCCTGTATGTTATGACCACGTTCAGTTGCCTCTGGAATCAAAAAGGAAAAGAACTATGAAAAGCAGGATGGCTAGAGCCTTAGAGAACAAGAGAGAAGGAAAAAAAATGACAAAAAGATTTTTAAATAAATTACTAAATATGTTAGCTGTTTTACCGAATGTCTGCTAAGGGCTCCTGATGCAAAGTGAGATGCTATTTAAGTTGATCGGTGAACTCTGTTTCTGTAATGTGGTAGATGGTATTGGTTCAAAGCAATTATAAAATTTTCTCAAGAGCATTTTAGTAATCACAAAGAGGAAGAAGATCAGAGGTGGCCGAGTGGCTAAGTGCAATGTTCAGAGAGGCTGAGCCATGTAAAGTTCCCAGTTTAAGTCTGCAGACCTCCCTGAATACCCTGGGCACACGCTACCCATGATCTGGGTCTGGCTGGAAGCTGAGTGTGGACCATGAGGTGGAGACTCCCTGGGGATACTATCTCTTTCCTTGGCTTCTCTTTCTGTATCTCTCTTGTTCATGGAAGGAGTAAAAAACAAATGAACAAAAACTTAAAAAGAAAAAAATACAAGTAGTAAGACATTTTCTGCCACCAAGGTTTGTAGGCAGTTGAGACCCAAAGACATTTATAAAATGAGATGATTTTGAGATTTTGTTTTCACAATCTCATGGGGTAGAAATGTAATAGAAAAAGGCTCCACATACAGCTGGAATACAAAAGGCTGGGCACTTAGAATCACATGAAAGAATCCCCCTTATGCACACACACAAAACCAGTGTGAGCTGAAAGGAGAGTTCCCCTAAAGTCGGCATACTGGGTAAAGTAACTGTTATGGAGAAGATCAAATCACAAGCCCACTCTCAAATGGATTTTCAGCCTAAACGTTTTCCACTTGGTTGGTATAAAGAACCCTTAGGGACTTTTCTGACGTGTGGCAGAATCAAAAATGCATGCTTTGTGGAAGAACAAACCTCATTCTAGACAGAGTAGACAAGAACATTTTTAACACAAATAACCAACAAAATTACCTAGTGTCCAAGATATGTAAAACATTTATAGAAACATAATGAAAAAGGAGAAGAAAACTCCAGGCCAGCCAGTGGTGTGGTGGTCGGGGCAACTGCATCACATATGGCCATCTGTGGGGGTTGGAGTCTTGTATCCAGTGGCTTGAAGAACACACTGTGTGTGTGTGTGTGTGTGTGTGTGTGTGTGTGCACGCACACGTGCACATGCCCAAAATCCCAAGAGGAGAATGGAAGAGAAGGAATTGAGACATGGCCATTTCCCTGGGGATGTTCTCTCATTTCCCTCTTTTTCTGTCTCTGTGTCTCTCTCCAGTGAGCTCATACACCGTATAGCAAAAACAAAACAAAACAAAAGAGAGAGAGAGAGAGAGAGAGAAAACCCAATAAAATAATGACCAATTAAATAAGCAAGTCTTCAAAACAGAAACCCGAAACTCTAAAACATACATTAAAAAATTGAAATTGCTAGATTTTATGAATAATTAAGACAGGTGAAATAAGATATACTAAAGTAATAATAAAGTAATAAAATAAAATAAAGTAATAATTAATGAAAGAAATTACATACAACTGCCCATATCAGGATTGATGAAAATATGAACCCATGTGAACTTTTACACTTCGGCTGGTGAGAGTATATTTTGGTTTACTCTTTATGGAAAAAAAATGAACCTATCTAATAAAATAGAATTCTATGTCACCTTTTCCATACCTGTGTTTGTACCTCAGAGAAACTCTTGCATGTGTGAGCATAAAATTTATAGAAAATAACTGTCATAGAAAAACAATAAATGGATTTCAAAAATTTTGCATTAACATTAACTAGTACTTTAGTTCCATTTTCCCACGAGCTTTCTGAAATCAACATGGGTTCATCTTCCCATTAATCCTGATATGGGCAGTCTTATGTACTTTGTCTTGAGAGGCATGAATGATCATATGAGTAGCAGCAATGTATGTTATGACCCACAAGAAACATTATAAGTATCTACTACAGCGAAATGGATAAATACATTTTTATACATTTTCATGATGGAACAAATTTAGCTCTGTATAATAGCATTGATGACTATCACAATATATTAAAAGAAGATGCAAAATAATGCATCAACATTATTTTTAGAAATACTCAAACAGAGGTAACAAAACTAAAGCTGTATTTCTCCGAGATACATATCAAAGATCTATAACACAAAAATAGGGGATGTAACAGAAATCAGGATCCTCAACACCTCAAGATGGCAGGGGAGTCCTATTTTGGGATGAATACGTGGGCTTTACTGGATGCTGTTTCTTGATTTAAATGGATTACACAGCTTATCAAATGATTATTCTCTATACATGCATATTTATACAGTATATCTCTGTTTGGCATGTCTTCTAATAAAAAATGAAGGCGTTTTAAGAATTTATCTTTGGATAATATCAATAGTATTGCAGTGGTAACAGATATTTATCTTGCTCATTTATTTTTTAATTTCCCTAGATGGATATCCTAAAAATGAAATTGAATATAAGTGGAAAAAACCCTCAGTTGAAGTGGCTGATCCTAAGTACTGGAGATTATATCAGTTTGCATTTGTAGGATTAGCCAACTCCACTGAAATCTCTCACACGATCTCTGGTAAGGAGAAATTACAAGTCAGCCAATGATAGCAGCATGAACTGGCACTTGTTTTTAAATGTATGGATTGGGATCTATACTTTTATACATTTCGTAGCCAAAATAAAACACGCGTTTCCCTCCAGGAGATTACGTGATCATGACCATCTTTTTCGACCTCAGCAGACGAATGGGCTACTTCACTATTCAGACCTACATCCCCTGCATCTTGACGGTTGTGCTCTCCTGGGTGTCTTTCTGGATCAATAAAGACGCGGTGCCTGCAAGGACATCGCTGGGTATGATGAGCAGTACAAGCTCTGTTTGTCATAGCATTTTTAAGCATGTTCATGTTTTAAGCATTTTCTATATTTTATAGCAATATAGAGTCGCACATGTTGAATGTTCCTTTTAAACTATAATCAAGCAAAAAAAAAATGATTAAAAAAAACCTGTAATGAAGTAGAGGCACACTGCAGAATTCTTGGTCTGGTCCTCAGGTTCAGCTGTAGGCCACTTCATCAAGCAGATACCACAGTCAAGAAGTCACACACTTCCTTAGCTTCCGGGATATCTAATAATTAGTCTATGAAGTGTGCAGTGGCGTGATGTCTACAGAGCAGGCATGCCTTTATTTTAGAGTGGTGTACTGTTCACGTGGTCAGTCATGTGAGCCCTCAGGAGGTCATAATCATTCCGCTGGTGGAGGGTCTTGCCTCACTGTTGACGGCTGCTGCCTGATCGGGGTGGTCTTGGTTTCCGAAGGCTGGGGTGTCTGTGATAGTTTCTTAAACAAGGCAATAAGGAAGCTTGCTGTATTGTGGATTTTTTTCTTTACAAAAGATTTATCTCGCAGCTTGCAATCCTGTTTGATACTGTTTTAATCACGATAGAATTTTTTTTCAAAATTGGAATCAATATTCCCAAAATGTGGCATTGCTTTGTCAGCTAAGTTTATGTCGCAGTCTAAATCCCATGTCATCATGTCAGTAAGGTTCCCAGCACTTTTACTGGGAGAGGATTCCTTCTCAAGAAGCCACCTTTTGCCCATTCATAACAGGTAATTCCTCATCTGTTTGATTGTGGTAGTCCGATGCAGTCAAAGCTCTAGGTTCCACTTCAAATTCTAGTTTTCCTTCTCTTTCTACTACACCTGCACTGGCTTCCTTCAGTGCTGTCTTGGACTCCTCAAAGAAATCCGTGAAGGTTGAATCCACTTCTAACAAATCCTTTAAAAGTTGACATGTTGACTTCTTCCTATGAATCATGAATGTTTTAACGACATCTAGAAGGACAGATGTTTTCCAGAAGATTTTCAATCTGCTTTGCCCAGATCCAGCAGAGGAATCAGTGTTTATTGAAACTATAGTCATATCTTTTCCTTTTTCTTTTTCTTTTTTTTAAGGTTTTTGCCATGGGTGTGTGTGCTCACCAGAAAGAGAAAAAGACAGAGATAGTGAGAGGGGAAGTGAGAAATCACCCCTAGGGTGGATGGCCATGCTGCAATTCCTTCTCTTCCATTCTCTTCCCGGGATCTTAGGCATGCACGTACACGTTCCTGGCATAAGATTCAAGTCACCACGTCTGGAACTCGAACCATGTTTGACCATGTGGGAATCCAGCAATGCTACGTCATCAGCTGGCCCCGTCTCTCCTTTCTTAATTTTTTTTGTTTTTTGCCATAGGGCATTTGTGCTCCTCAGAGAGAGACAGTGAGAGGGAAAGATAAGCAGTCATTGGGCTTTGTTGTTCCTTTCACAGAGCAACAGCAGAATCGATTCAGTGTAATTCTTGAGAGTCCTAGAACTTGGTAACAGTAAGTGAACATTGGCTTCACCTTCATGTCCCCAGCTGCCTGAGCCCTAATAAGAGCATCAGTTTGTCCTTTGAAGTCAAGCATTGGCTTCTCTCTATCTATAGAAGTCCTAGATGGCAGCTTCCAGTAGAAGACTGTTTGTCTCCGCTGGAAACCTGGTTTTTAGGGCAGCCGCCCAGGTTTCTGTCAGTGATCTTAGCTACACCTTTTGGATAACTTGCTGCAGCTTCCTCATTGGCATGTGCCATTTCACTTTTCACTGTTTGCTGTGGAGTGGGCTTCTCTCTGTGAGCTTCAAGAAGCAACCTCTGCGAGGACCCTCCAACTTTTCCTCTGCAGCTTCCCCACCTCTCTCAAGCTTCATAGACATGAAGACAGTCTGGGCCTTGTCCTGGATCAGTTTTGATTTAAGGGAGTGTCGTGGTTGTTTAATCTCCTATCCAGACCACTGGAGAGAAGAAACTTTCTCCTTAGCAGCAGAAGGCTGTTTCACTTTCTGTGTGTGCGTGGCCACTGGAGTACCACTTTTAAATTCCTTCTGGAACTTTTCCTCTGCATTCGCCACTGAGCTAGCTGGCACTCTCGAATTTCAACATGTCTTCCTTACTGAGCTCATTTTTTCCTAGCATTTAACTTACAGAGAGAGTGTGGAACTCTTCCTTCACTTGAACACTTATAGGCCACTGTAGGGTATGAATTGGCCTAATTTCCATATTCGTATATCTTGGGGTGACGATGATAAAGTTTGAAACTTCGTGAAAATCACCGAAGCGTGACACAGACTTGAAGTGAGCTCATAGCACTGGGAAATCGCCTTGGCCTTTTGCTGATGGCCTTGCCCAGGGCACGGTTGCCAGGAACCTTCAGTCTGTAAAAGATGCAAGTTTCTGTGAAGTGCAATAAAGCAAAGTACAGTAAAATGAGGCGTGTCTGTATTAGGCTGAAAAGAATTTATGAAAAACAAGTACAGTACAGAATTTCGAAAACTGAAAATTTCAGAAAATTTCTTATTTTTCCTGCTAATGGAGGTCAAGGGAGTCATAGATGCACAGTCATTGCTCCATGGAAATCATGCATGATCCCGAGCCTTGTGTGTGTGCGTGCACATGTGTGTGTGTGTGTACATATATATACACGCATACATTTTAGTTGAGTCACTGATAACCAGCATTTATTTCCTGGGGTCTCTTTGAATGACTTTGACATCCTCTGCTTTTCCAGGGTTGCAGAGAACAATCAACTATCCCCAAAGCACAAGTAGTTAAAAGGAACAAAATGCCCTGCGGCTTCTGTCATATGTAAGATGTGTAATTAGTCTGCAAATATTTCAGAGTCACCTGTACAATAACACTGATTAAAAGGGCAATTTGGGCTTCACACTTGAGAAAATATATTTGCTCTCTTTCTGTAGCGATCTATTGAAATAGTCACATAAGAAAGTAAATGACTAATTACCGTACATTCATTTAAAAACACGATCCCCTACATTCATGCATTGATACAGAAAGAAAACCTGCTCATCAAGTGACTCATCCCCAAGATCGGTGTAAGACGTGAATCATACTGCTGATCATCGTGTCTTAGCAAAACCGAAAGCTGAAACTACTTATGTTTTAATCTGACAGAGTTTCGTTGGTGTTGGAGTTGTTTAAATGAGGCACACACATAGACACACTGAGAAAGTGGGAGGAAGAGAGGGACAGAGATTACTTTTCATTTATTTATTTTTTGGAGAGATTTTAGCTATAGGGCATGTGTGCTCACTGGAGAGAGAGAGAGAGAAACAGAGATAGCAAGTGAGAAATCACCCCCCCCCCACCAGGAGGAATGGCCCTACTCCATTCTCCTCTCAGGATTTTGGATACACACTCACACACACACACACACACACACACACACACACGTGTCCATAGGGAGTGTTTTTTTTTTTTTTTTGAGAGGTTTTCGCTATAGGGCGCATACGCTCGCCAGACACACAGAGAGAGACATAGAGAAAGAAAGCGAGAAATCACCCCCCAGGGGAATGGTCACGCCGCAGTCCCTTCTCCTCCATTCTCCTCTCGGGATCTTGGGCACGCACGCACACGGCCCGGCGTGAGTTCTAAGCCACCGGGTCCGGGACGCGAACCGCGGTCGACTACGTGGGAGTCTAGCAACATAGCCATTACGCTAACTGCTGGTTCCCAGTCCATAGGGAGTTTTAAGCCACTGGGTCCAGGACTTGAACCACAGTTGACTACGTGGAAGTCTGGAGACGTAACCATTACATCATGTGCTGGTCCCCAGAGATGATCTTTGACAGGGTCTCACCATGTCTCCCTGCTTCCTGCCCAGCCTCCCAGTTAGTAGGACCCCAGGTGCTCAGCGGCAAATCCACATTCAGCCCGTGCGCGTTGGGCCAGCAGCAGAGCCTGGCCCCGCTATGACGCCTCGGCCAACATGCAGGACACCTCCTTGTGCCACTCAGCCTGGACCTTAAAGAGGTTTCCGTGTGGTCTCTGTGGAGGCTGGTAAATAGTTCCGTTTGATTCATATAGTGAAATGCAGGTCACATAACAGCGTCAGTGAAAAGCCTGAGGCACCTACCTTTGTACACAGAAATGCACTTCCCATGGAAGACTAACACCGCTAGTGGGCAAAATCCACTCAGATCTGAGGGGTTTGATCTATTTTAAATTATTTTATGTTCTGAGGTGTCTTATCTCAGGTTCTTTGGATGCTAGTATAACTCAAACATTGTATTTTTGTTATTCTTCTATTTTTTCCCTAAGAATTATTAGAATGGATTATTTCTACCACCAGGTTGATATGAACCTTTGCTTTGTCAAAGTGTATAAAGCCATATGCGGAATGCCATGGAGGAGAAAAGCCAAGTGTAGAACTAGATTTTTGCATGCATTTATAAATTTTCAGTGTTAGCAATTGTACAGATAAAGCACAGACAGATTAGACCTGATCTCTTATCAATGTAGCTGGGGAATCGAGATTTTCTTGGAAATATACATACATACATGTGTGCACGTGTGAGTATGCTTCCAATGGTTCCTAGAAAAACGGAATTGACGTACAAGTTTATGTTAATGGCAAAACATTTTGTAATCCATGCATAGTTCTTTTCATGATGTGCATTTTCCATGAACTTTCTGAAGACCCTGGTATCAGGGTAAGATAGTTTTCTGAGTTTATGCATTCAACATTGCGTTCTTTAAAACACTTATCAAATGCTTAGCTTGATAGGCATTTATCAAATGCACTCACGGAATCAGGCAGTGTTCTTGGTGCTGCCGTGTTCAGAGTGGAAGTGACGAAACATTGGAGTTCAGTGTGTTTATATACGTTTAGGGGAAGCAGGTGCTGTACAAGCATACGAAACACGGAGAAGGGCCAGCAGCCGGTGTGGCAGTTAAAACCGTGGATTCCCACGTGGCCAGCCACCATCTGAGCCCTGGACCCTGAGGCTTGAAAATCACGTCTGGTGCATGTTCATGCGTTTCTAAAATCCCAAAGGCGAGTGGAGGAGAAGGGATTGCCGCGTGGCCATCCCCCCGAGGGGGTGTTTCTCACTTTCCCTCTCTCAGTTTCACTCTGTCTCTTCCACTGAGTGCACACAGGCTACGGCAGAAACCTACTAAGCAAACATTAAAAACCTGTAACGAAGCTCAGTGAGTGCTAAAGCTCATGAAGAAGGGAAGAGACAAATGGTTAGAAGACGACGGAGGTGGGGTGGACATGAGGGCGACTGTCTCACTGTGGTGTTGGGGTGATCTCGCTCAGGAGGTAGCATTGGAGCAGTGACCCGGTGAAGCTCGGGCTAGCCTGGTGGGTATTCGGTAGAAAGGTAGTCCAGGCAGGGGAATGTCTGAGTTTCTGAAGTGGGAACTTCCTGTGATGCTTGGGGTTCAGAAAGATGATGGCTGTGGTGGGACTGACTAGAATGTTGGAGAAAATGAGATGATAACGTGGCCAGTGGTTGGGGCCAGCAAGTGGAGTGGTGGTTAAGCACTGGACTCCCACATGGCCAACCGTGGTTCAAGTCCTGGACCTGGTGGATTGCTCTCTCATTTTCCCACTCTCTCTCTCTCTCTCTGTCTCTTTTGGGTCAAATTTTAAAATAATAATAATAAAATCAAAATAAAATAATTCTAAAGAAAATGTGACCAGTGGTTAAGCAAGCTAGGATTATCTAAGTCTTCGTGGGTCACTTCAAGGACTTTGAACTTTATTCCACATAGAGTGGGAGACTCTTGTAGGCTCTTGAGCAGGGGAAGCCAGGGAGGAAAAAGCAACAATGTTCAAAATTATTTTTTTATTATCTCCTTAGTGTCCCATATGTTTTCTTATTCCTATGAACTCAGAAATATTTTAATAGGAAATCTACCATGTTCTTCTCAAGATCACCACTGTGAAATTAATTACAAAACGGAAGTGAATGTCTGAAAACCAACTCCTGCTGGTTATTTATTTATTTTTTTTGCCTATGAAGTAGAAATGGAATAATATTTTAATAAAGGAAAAGTGAATGCACTCTTGATAGCAAAATCAAACCATACATTGGCATAAAGATTTTTTTTTTATATATGTAGGGATGAAACCTGAATAGGGAAGCCAGGAATCGCTTTGGAAATCTACCTTTGTCTGACTATGGGAATACTGAAATTTAGTAAGTGTCTCTCTAGAGAACTACGAAAGTTGAGTGAGACCTGCATTCATTGAAATTACCTAGCCTTCCTCATACACAAAGTCTTTTTATACATTTAGGTTTCAAAACACTTGAAGCAAAAACTGTCAGGAACAATGGGAGAAGCAGACAAGTCTCCAGTCCCACCGGGACATTTCCACACCCTTTCCCCCACCGTTGTTAGTGTACAAGCAAGCTCCTGGTGAGGGGGGAATCTGGCTGAGGCCACCAGCCACTTGACCTGGCTAACATGGGTTTAGCGTACTTTTAAAACCATATCCCTCTGTGTCTCCCTGAGAACATTCAGGAAGGGAGGGAGAGCTGCATCCCCAGCAACGTGATCCTCCTCTGTCTCTGAGTCTGGACGGTGGAACACATGTGTACCATGTATGCCCAAGAAGCAACCCCACAGCTTTCTCCCGTGGCTTTTTCCTGCCATGCCCTGCCTCGCGTCCTGAGCTGACTGGTGTTGACAGGTCACTGCATCTATGCTCAGGACTGGTATTTTCAAGAGCACAGGAAACATTAACCTCAATAACATGAATCTCTGCAACATTCAAAACCCAACATTTTCATGGTGTATTTCCTGACAAAAATGGAAGTAAATTAAAAGTTAATAGAAATAATATAACTCATGATGACTTTACATGCTTCAAAATTGTTAAGCAATCTTTTAGGTAACTTTAGCTAGAATAAGAATGGGAGGGAAATTAGAAAATATTTCATTTTAGTACAATTTTAATAAAAATTAAATAGCGAAAAGGTAGGACTCTTAGCTAATTCAAGTTATCATATACGAAAGCATCATATTAATTTGGATTTATTCTAACTGTGTACGGCAGGAAATGTTTTAATAAGCTGTTTAATAAACCATTTTAATAAAAACTAAATATAAATATTTATGGGAAGTAGCATAAGTACTCTTTGGAGGAAAAATAATACTTTTAAAATACGAATATTAGAGAGAGAGAATGATTTAAAATCGTTAACTTAAATATCTACTTTAAGAACAAATCAGTTAATTAGATATCTTTTGTATGTATTTATTGTAAATGCCAACTAAGATATTAGTGTGTCACTTTTTATTCAGAGAGAGATTTTTTTTTTTTGAGAGGTTTTCGCTATAGTGTGTGTGCGCTCGCTGGACAGACAGAGAGAGACAGAGAGACAGAAAGCGAGAAATCACCCCCCAGGGGGGATGGTCACACCGCAATCCCTTCTCCTCCATTCTCCTCTCGGGATCTTGGGCACGCATGCACATGCACCCAGCGTGAGTTTTAAGCCACCGGATCCAGGACGTGAACCGCGATCGACTACGTGGGAGTCCAGCGACATAGCCATTACGCTAACTGCTGGTTCCCAGAGAGATTTTTGCTATAGGGCACATGCACTCACCAGAGAGACAAAGAGAGACAGAGAGACAGAAAATGAGAAACTGTGGGGATGCCACGCCATGGTCCCTTCTCCATTCTCCTCTCAGGATTTTGGGCACACACATGTGTCCTGTGAGAGTGTCAAGCCTCCAGGTCCGGGGCTCTAAAGGCTGTCCAGCATGTGGGAGTCCAGGTCCTTAACCATATGCCACCTGCTGGTCCCAGGTGTGTCACTTTTTTAATGAGAGGCACAGAGGTGTTAAAAAGCTCCCTAAGATCACAGAGCTAATGGGCAAAGATGTCAGAGATCAACCTCGGTTTGCCTCCACGACCCTAAATTCATCTGTGTCCTCTTTAATTTCCTTCAATCCTAAGAGATGGTGACAGTAAAGAGAAGAGCATGTGAGGGGAATCGTCTGGACTGTGCCCATGGACACATGAGGGCAAGAAGTGGCCATTGCCTTCACGACACTGAAGAGACTCAATCTTATCAAGATAAATATTGCCACTCCATAAATGTAGGCCGAATGAGGGAGTATCTAGCATTATACTTACTACTTTTGTGAGAGGAAACAGTTCTACTCATGCGGCCAGATATGGTGAGGCCAAGAAGGAGGATAAAGAGAGATGTAACACGTGCCTCTGGGATTTAGGAAACCTTCGATTAATTTTGGGAAGAACGGCCAAGGGCCAGTGAGACCCCCAGATACATACATAGGGCTGGGGCTCTGGAGGGTATCCCAGTGATACAAGATCAACTCTTCAAAGAAAGAAGCTTGTTCTTGTAAAGTATCCCTTGGTATAATTATGCCTGTATTCATTATTTGAACTTTAAGACTTATAAAATAGTTTTAATGGACAAGCAGGTGGCATGGTGGTTAAGACGCTGGACTCCCATGGCCGACCATGGTTCAAATCTTGAACCTGGAGGTTGGCTTTCTTACCTTCCCTCTCTCTCTGTGCGTGTCTCTCTCTGGCGAGTGCATGTGCCCTATAGCAAATTTTAAAATAATAATAAATACAATGAAATAATTCTAAAAAAAAATGGATTTAATTGAAGGTATGGGATAAGAAAGCAATGAGGAGGAGGGCGAGGAGGGCGGTCCCTGTCCTGTCAATGCCACCTTTCACTGACACTCCTGACCTGGTCCTCCTTGGCCGGGTCTCGCCCATGGCACACACAGCTGTGAGAAGATGGGACATAAAGCTGTCCTTTCGGGCGACACGTACCAGCTGAGAGATGGATTTTCTGTTCCTACGGGGAGAGGGAATGATCGGTAGTGGGAGTCAGCTTAAGGCCCACAGTCATTTAAATGATTAAGATGTACAGAGACGAGAGCACCCTGAACACATGTCGCTATGGTTACCAGACTCTTGTTCCGTAAATGGCTAGTAATCATACCCTCTGTTTCCATGGGTACTTCTGCTCGGGGCATTGTCAGGTGGAAGAACAAAAGTGGTCCAAGTGATTTTTCTCCGCCCCTCGCAGGCATCACCACGGTCCTGACCATGACAACCCTGAGCACCATTGCCAGGAAGTCCTTGCCGAAGGTGTCCTACGTGACCGCCATGGACCTCTTCGTGTCTGTCTGCTTCATCTTTGTTTTCGCAGCCTTGATGGAATATGGAACGCTGCATTATTTCACCAGCAACAAGAAGGAAAAGCCTGAGAGAGACCGAAAGCTGAGGAACAAGGCCTCGGTATGTGGAAACCTCTCGCGTCATAAATCCAGACTGACCCGTGGTGTCTTGTCGTTGTGAGTGCGTGCAGTCTGTGAGCTCGGGTGACAGGGGTGCTGGGCTTCCCGGGGTGAATGAGGAGGCGGGCAGGGTGTCTAACATGCCCCCCGGGAAGGCTGCCTTTGCGTCTCCCCAAGCCCTCTGTGGAGCGACCTATGCACAGAGGCTCCTTATGCTGAGATATTTTGCCGTTAAATTCTTTGTTCCTAAAACATTAAGATTCTTTTTGAAATAATTGTTTATGTAATTTTATTTATTCATTCATTTCTTTTCATTTGACCAGAGATAAACAGAGAGAAAGAGAGAGAAAGTGAGAATGAATTCCCCCAGGTCCAGGATTTGAACCATGGTCAGCCATGTGGGAGTGTCCAGTGCCATAACCACTATGCCACTTGCTGGTTTCCAAACATTAGGATTTAAAACAGTCAGGATTCCGTTTTTGTGTTAGAATTGAAATTGCGAACGCTCAGTGGCCACGGAATCAGCCTATTTTTAGAGATCAAGGTCGGCCTTTGATGCTAACGTCCAGCCGCGTTTGGAAGTCAGTTACGGCTTTCTTTTCACATCCTTGTGTATTTCTACCCCCGTTCCTCCTGTGCTGTCACACATCAGCCTTACACCACATCCGGTGTATGTATCAAAACTGAGTCTGGGGGACCAGCACTTAGCGTAATGGCTATGTCGCTGGACTCCCACCTAGTCGACTGCGGTTCGTGTCCCGGACCCAGTGGCTTAAAACTCACTCTGGGCGCGTGTGCGTGCGTGCCCAAGATTCCGAGGGGAGAATGGAGGAGAAGGGATTGCGGCGTGGCCATCCCCCCTGGGGGTGATTTCTCGCTTTCTGTCTCTGTCTCTGTTTGTCTGGTGAGCACACACGCCCTATAGAAAAAAAAAAAACCCAAAAAAAAAAAAAAAAAAAAAAAAAAAAAAAACAAACTGAGTCTACTGATCCTAACGTACCGGGCTAGGAGAAGACACCTGTAGTTTCCCTAACAATAGCGACTGTTACAGCCTGAAGTGAAAATCTAACACTTACTACACATTCCAGGCACTCCTCTGAACAGTTTACATGCGTGATTCATACATGCTCAGAGAAACACTCTAAGTGCAGATTCGACGACAGCCTTAATAACCACAGGACCAACAGTGACTCACTGCCCGGGTCTGCTGTGGCACTCCGGCTCCAGCTGGGGTCCTTCCTTGCACTGCCTGTCCCCACGGGGCTCAGAAAAATAGACATTTGTTCTCCAAAATTAACAAAAAAGACACTCATGGCTGATCCCAGTGGGTTTTTCTAAGCAGATTTGTTTGAAAATACTCAAATAAATTAGAACTGTATAAAACAGCTATACTGGTGGCAAGCTTGTAAGCTCCCATAGTTCCTAGCAGGGTGTTGGAAAAGTCATGATGTGTTGTTTTCGGTTTTTCTATGCAAAAATGCATCGTGACTTTTCCAGGAACCCCACAGAATGAGGCATAGAGTTTTCCACATTATCTGACTTTGTAACTGTAAGTGCTAGAATTCAGTCCTTCTCCCTCTCCTGCGTTTCTTTCATTTTCTTTTTCTTATAAAACTTGGCCATACTTTTAAATTCTGACGGGGGGGCTGGGCTTCCGGGGGTGAATGAGGAGGCGGGCAGGGTGTCTAACATGCCCCCCGGGAAGGCTGCCTTTGCGTCTCCCCAAGCCCTCTGTGGAGCGACCTATGCACAGAGGCTCCTTATGCTGAGATATTTTGCCGTTAAATTCTTTGTTCCTAAAACATTAAGATTCTTTTTGAAATAATTGTTTATGTAATTTTATTTATTCATTCATTTCTTTTCATTTGACCAGAGATAAACAGAGAGAAAGAGAGAGAAAGTGAGAAAGAATGCCCCCAGGTCCAGGATTTGAACCATGGTCAGCCATGTGGGAGTGTCCAGTGCCATAACCACTATGCCACTTGCTGGTTTCCAAACATTAGGATTTAAAACAGTCAGGGTTCCGTTTTTGTGTTAGAATTGAAATTGCGAACGCTCAGTGGCCACGGAATCAGCCTATTTTTAGAGATCAAGGTCGGCCTTTGATGCTAACGTCCAGCCGCGTTTGGAAGTCAGTTACGGCTTTCTTTTCACATCCTTGTGTATTTCTACCCCCGTTCCTCCTGTGCTGTCACACATCAGCCTTACACCACATCCGGTGTATGTATCAAAACTGAGTCTGGGGGACCAGCACTTAGCGTAATGGCTATGTCGCTGGACTCCCACCTAGTCGACTGCGGTTCGTGTCCCGGACCCGGTGGCTTAAAACTCACTCTGGGCGCGTGTGCGTGCGTGCCCAAGATTCCGAGGGGAGAATGGAGGAGAAGGGATTGCGGCGTGGCCATCCCCCCTGGGGGTGATTTCTCGCTTTCTGTCTCTGTCTCTGTTTGTCTGGTGAGCACACACGCCCTATAGCAAAAAACTCTCAAAAAAACAAAAAAAAAAAAAAAAAAAAAAAACAAACTGAGTCTACTGATCCTAACGTACCGGGCTAGGAGAAGACACCTGTAGTTTCCCTAACAATAGCGACTGTTACAGCCTGAAGTGAAAATCTAACACTTACTACACATTCCAGGCACTCCTCTGAACAGTTTACATGCGTGATTCATACATGCTCAGAGAAACACTCTAAGTGCAGATTCGACGACAGCCTTAATAACCACAGGACCAACAGTGACTCACTGCCCGGGTCTGCTGTGGCACTCCGGCTCCAGCTGGGGTCCTTCCTTGCACTGCCTGTCCCCACGGGGCTCAGAAAAATAGACATTTGTTCTCCAAAATTAACAAAAAAGACACTCATGGCTGATCCCAGTGGGTTTTTCTAAGCAGATTTGTTTGAAAATACTCAAATAAATTAGAACTGTATAAAACAGCTATACTGGTGGCAAGCTTGTAAGCTCCCATAGTTCCTAGCAGGGTGTTGGAAAAGTCATGATGTGTTGTTTTCGGTTTTTCTATGCAAAAATGCATCGTGACTTTTCCAGCAACCCCACAGAATGAGGCATAGAGTTTTCCACATTATCTGACTTTGTAACTGTAAGTGCTAGAATTCAGTCCTTCTCCCTCTCCTGCGTTTCTTTCATTTTCTTTTTCTTATAAAACTTGGCCATACTTTTAAATTCTATTTTATTTTTCATGCTGTTGGATATTCCAAGGGCCAAATGCTTACTTTCGGATTGCCATAATATTCCATGAAAGCAGAGAACTTTGCTGACAGCACAATCCGAGAACCCGCGTTATGGAATCGAAATCACTTGCACTGTGACTCTCTCAATGTGATTTAGCTCACACAGAGGACGTTTTATGAACAAACCATCAGAGAGCAACAATGGCAACGCAGATTAAAGTTTCCATTGCTAAAGGAAAGTGAAGGATTTTTATGATTTTCCTGTAACAAAACACTGTCTGTAATTCTGTAGATTGTCCGTACCCCACTAACTCATCCATTGCTTCATTCAATTATTACCTTGAAATTTCTACATCCAGCAATATTTATTGGTACGCGTGTGTATGTGTGTGCATGTGTGTGGTCTATTAGGCAGGATCTTCCTGCCTCGGCCTCCTAGGCAGCTGGGACCACAGCCCCAGACCACAACTCCCAGCTCTTTCAGACAGGTCCTCACTGTTCCACTCAGGCCAAGCTGTAGCTCCAGTTCTCCCTTCTCAGCCTCCCAAGTAGTGGGGACCACAAGTCCACACCAATGCACCCAGCTTTTACGGTGATCCAGGAATCAAACCAGGCCTCCCACATTGTCTCAGCCTGCCAAGTGGAGCATGCAGCGTGTGGTACAGTGGCTGTGCCTAGTTTTTGGAAATTTTGATTAGAAAATATTTAGAGTAAACGTGACTAACATTAAAAGCCAGAAATGTACAATCTCGCATCGATCTGTCTAGGAATGAATAGTGTGGTTCTGTAATTACATAACCTGCGGATGCACGACCAAGAAGTGGCAGCGCTGGGAATGCAGCTCATCTGGCGACTCTGGGTCCCACACCCCCGACCACAGTTCCGGGGAGCACTCAGGGGAGCCGACACGCTGGCGTGCACACCCCAAAGTTACGATGTTAGGGAACCAGCAGTTAGCGTAATGGCTATGTTGCTGGACTCCCATGCAACCAACCGCGGTTCGCATCCCGGACCCGGTGGCTTGAAACTCACGCTGGGCACATGACAAAAAAAACAACAACAACAACAACAACAAAAAAACACCTCTCCAAAGTTACGATGTTACTCAATCATTCATCGGATATTCAGATATTCAGGGAGAATTTTTGTATCCCAGGCACTGTTGTCGGCTATTTAAGAAAAAAAAAATCTCTATGCCAAGTTTTTAAAATTTAGCATCAAGCCCACAATGCAAAGTACTGAAATGGAAGAGTAAGGGATAAAAATTAAATGATAGCTTTGAGGCACTCAACAGCAAACAGCAGCCGTTAAACTGACATATTATGACTAACTAACTGGGTGCTAAAATACCTTCTTTACAGACATCCAGGATAAATTCCTGTGGTCTTCTTTCTTTGTTCAGTCATGTTCTTCATGAGTTTTTTCAGTACTCAATGACACTCAGTAAAACCTAAGCTCAGTCATCAGACCTGACTTCCTGCCTGACTCCGTGTCCAGCCGTGCAGTCTTGCTAATTGGGCAAATCCACTGTACTTTCGTGCTGCATGGACATCTCCGTTTGCTGTTGTATCAAGCCCTTTCTTTCCAGGCTCTGTGGAATCCATGGTTTTCTCCTGGTGCAGCCAGGGCAATCGAAAGTACCACATGGACCCGGAGGGCTGACGGTACCTGGCCATTTCAGCTGTTTAAATGGTTGGTGATCGCCCATCTTTTCTCTCGCTTTCTTCTTCTTCCTCCCATCTTGCCATTTTCTTTAAAAGGCTTAACATCCAGCATTTTCCTATAAATTATTTATGGCAATATTCAGACCAAAA